CAAGTGAAATCAATGAAGATTCGTAGATTTTAATACACTCGAGGTTGATTGACACTAATGAATTGGTTTGAGATTGCGATTCTTTTGAAATTGCTCTCTTTACTCTAGTTTTAATAAAATATTTTACTTCCTGAACTGCACTTTTTTTTGATAACATTATTAAACTATTTTTTTCTTCTATTCCATCATTTTGAAATAAAGGTGTTTCTAAATTGATTTTTAATAAATGAGCCAGTTTCCTTAAATTTTCTAATTGATTTATTAGGGGCATTAGTGTTAGAATTTTGAAACATGATTAAATTTTATTGTTATCTTTATTTATTTATTTTTTTTAAGATTTGCGCTTCTGCAATTAAATAAATTTCAAATAAAGTGAATTAATAAAATTCTTCATATTAAATTGAATTTTCAATTAACTAATTTTTGATTATTAATTTTTGTTAATCTAATTATATAAAAAACTGCAATTGAAGAATTAGTTACAAGGTAAGAAAGTTTAAAAATAGTAATTAATACCAATTAATATAACCGCAGCGTAACTTTTCTAATATGATAAATTAAATTTTTTTGATTGATATTGTTATAAACTCTATAGTAAACTTTTACGTTAGAATGTTTTTTTATGATCTTTTTTAATTCTGTCTTGTCAAATTCAATAAAAAATTTTTTAAATTAATCCTACAAGTTTGTAAAAATTATTTAAAAAAGTTTTCATTAAATTTGGTCAAGTTTTTGTTAAATTATTCTTTAAAGTTGTAAAAAAATTTTATTATAAAAAATTTGCTTGCTTCTAGAGATAAATAAATCACATGACTAAAATGAATTGCGCTGATAAGAACTTTCAATTTAGGAGAAAAATAGAAATATTAAATAAAGATTTGATTTTTAGAGAACAGATTATAGAAAGGCTTGAAGCCACTATAAGTAATTTTGAATTAAAGTGCTCGATATGCTTTGATTATATGACAAATCCTTATACTATTTCATGTGGTCATACTTTTTGCTATATGTGCATTTATACGTGGGTAGGAATTAAAGCATTAAAATTAATTGGAAATTTTGTAAAATGTTAACCAAATTCTTTTGCAGTTTAAAGATCAAAAAAAGGAATATCCGACATGTCGTATTAAAATTACACAAGAACCAGTATTATCCTTCGTTATTAAAGATATAATAGATTATTTTATCAAAATCAAATCATCAGATGAAGAAAGACATCTTAAAAAAAGGTTTCAAGAGTTTAAAGCTATATCTAATCCGTGGGGAAACCTTTTTCACAATTCAAATACAAAAACAAAAACAAAAAATAACTATTACGAAGGTAATTGTTGAACAAATAAGTTAATTTTGAGACTTAAATTAATTAGTTTTTGCATTAGTAAAGGATAACATTTGCGTAAATTGTGGACAAAGTCTCGCCATAGAAATTGAAGATGACGAAATAGATATTGAATATGACGAAATAGATATTGAAGATGACATTGATGATTATTCAGAATACGATAATTATGACACCTCGGATTCTTTTATCGATGATGGTAAAAAAAAAATATATAAGACTAGAATTACTTTTTAATAATCCAATGCCTAACTAATATTTGAATATATGATTGTTTAGGTAAAATAACAGAAGATGATATGTGAATTATTATTATTATCGTTATCTTTGTTCCAGACAAATAAAAATGTCATTAATACAGATTTGATTTACATGTACACTGGACATGAGCCAGTATTTAAATATTCAAAAAAAACTTTCTTATTTAAAGCTAATTTTCAAAAAAAGTTCATTGCTATAATTCAGAGAAATTCAATATACAAGGTTATCATTATTCAAATAAATTAATACAGAGACATTAAAGGTATTATTTACTAATTCTAAGTGTAATCCTCCAACGTACCAGGAAGGTACGAAGATTAGAGATACGATCTGTTATCCATTGGATACTAATAAAATCTGCGGATAACGGATTGCTATAATTCAAAAAAAAACTGCGCAGACATATAACAAAGAATAAGATTCGGGTAACCTTATTCTGGACCCGAATAAGTAAAACAATTATTTATCATTTGAATATGACAAATCTCATACTGGCTCCGATTTGAATAATTCTAACAAATCTGGTTTAATAAGTTATTTTCACTCAATAAACGATTGTTTTCACTTGTTAGAATTTGACATATTTCGTTTAAATAAACGACTTTATTTTCTAGTAGTTTGTTTTCATTTGTTAATGATTCAATTTTTTCACAAGCTAAAAAATAATAAATTAGCAAATCATAAAGTTGATCAAATCATAAAAATAAGAATGTTTACCTTCTCTTAATATTTCAACTTTATTCAACTTATATACTGATAATAGACTATTGAGTTTTTCTAAAAAATCTCTAGATATTGCACGTTGTATTCAATTGCGATTTCATCGCTGCTTCATAACATCACCTATATCCTCATGACAATGTTGAAACGATTGAGACATAGTCAGATTTTTCGTAATATATGTTAATAGAAATATGTTAAGATCAAAACTAATAATCTTTAAATTTATAAATCTAAAAAAATACAAGGAAATATATATAATTTTTCACTACTATAAAGTCTAGAATGAATTGTTGACTAATTAAATAAAATGTTAAATAAGTTAGAATACAAAGCAATATTAATTATTTGCTCGGTATTATTTGAAAGAAATTCTATCGTAATTAAATATAATCATATTTATGTATATATAATATTTAACCTAATCCGTAAGAGTATCATGTTAAAATTTTATAATACAGTAGTTTTGAAAATGTGACAAATACTAATAAACAAAATAAAATGAATTATCAATTCAATTCAATTGCATATTGTTTCTTGATAACTATTCAATTTTTTAAGGTAACATTATCTGCGGATTTACGCTTACCTAAAACTGTTTCTAAATATAATATGTATTAACGTAAGGCCGATTATTTGTTTAATTTAATGTCATTTATAGGTGTGAATTAAGATTTTTTATTCTAAATATTTAAATATCGTTTCGATTAATGTTTTCATCAATACTATGCCTCCTATTCTTCCTACTGAATGTATGAAACTAATATTTCAATATATCAAAAAAAATGATGAATCATTATATCCTTCTTTATTAGTAAATCATTATTGGTGTAAAAATGTGGTGGAATTATTGTGGGCTTGCTCATTTGATTCATTAAACTTTGATAACGTCTACAAGATTACACCAATTTACATTTCGTCACTTGAAGAAAATGAAAAAAATTAACTTAGGATATTATTGGTTAAAGATTCATATGAACAAAATTCTATTCTGAAATTAATACCAAATAATAAACCTTTATTTAATTATTCAATGATGCTGGAAGAATTTTCGCTAAAGAGCTAGAAAAAATTGTACAATCCTGGATCGCTGTATTTATGCCTGATAAAAATTTTGAAGAGTTAAGAAAACAAATAATGAATATTAAGGAACAAATGATATTGTTTTTATTCAAATTATTTATCAATAGTACAAATTTAAAAATTTTAAAAATTGATAGTGACAAGATTTTGAATAACGTTCCAGATCTTCAACATACAATTGGGCAATGTTTAAATATTACAATGCTTGAAATTGGATACGCAGATCAACATATGTCAATAAACTCTATAAATTTTTTAGAAAAAATTTCAAAGTCATGTAAACAAATAGATAATTTAATCGTCAAAGTTCCTACATTTGAGAAAAATCATGAGATTAAAGAACTTATTATATCGATTATAAATGCACAAGAAAAATTAAAAAAATTTAGCCACAGGAGTGTAGATAGCTGGTTAGAAGAAATAATCAAAGCATTGCAATCTCAAACCAATTCATTAGTGTCAATCAACCTCGAGTGTATTAAAATCTACGAATCTTCATTGATTTCACTTGCTAAATGCAAAAATTTGGAAAATCTGGTTTTTTTAAACTATTCAAGACTTAATATAAGACTACGCAAAAATATTGAATTTAAAAATTTGAAAAGGTTATATATTAAAAATTATCCTTTGATGAATATTAATATGCCAAACCTGAAAGAATTAACTTTAGAAGTGTTGACACATGAAGTGATAGCTTCTATAATAAAAAATTGTCCTAATATTACTCATCTTAATCTCAAGAATTATCGTCCTTCTTATCATGATTTTATATTTAAAGACTTTATTCAAGAATTACACATAACTCACTTGACTATTAACTTTCTATATAGCGATTCTATTATTTCTGAATCTTCGATTCTATTAAAAGAATTTCTTTTACTTACGCTTAAATACTTAGTGATTAAGTGCGGGCTTATTACAATTTATCTTGATAATCTAATGGATGATTGTTGTTATGAGAAATTAAAGGAGTTGATTATTAAAGTAATGAAAGTTTACAATTTAACAGATAAATCTCAATGTGATTATACTACAGATCAATACTAGTGTCACCAGTGTCATTTTAGATGCTTGTTAAATTTGACAAGATTTCAAATTTTTATCAATAAATTGAATTTTGGTTAACATTTGTATTTGACTGGACTTAATTAAAAATGACCTGTCGGTATAACAATTCAATTAAATATTGAAGAATTAGAACCTGAATTGATTTTCAAACGAAATGCTTGCTTTGCAATTCAAAATCAAAATAGAAATTTAAATTATTTTTAGTATTCTATTATTTTTTGCTATTTAGAGCCACAAATACGTAGAATTAAATTCCGGACGATCAAAGTGGTTTTACAAAATACAGTCCAAATTAAATAATGAAGTCTTTTAAATTAATTATTTTTGTTCTTAACTTTTTAGCAATGATTCCAAACTTCACGTCGTCTGCCATCCCACTTACATTTTATTGCACCCGTTTTGCACCAAGCGCGGTTTCTTTTAACACATCAATTGCTAATATTGTGTCATCTGAAGATGAAAAATTTGCTTTAAGTCGTTTTGAATTGGATGCTAATGAAGCTAAAAATAAAATAGCATTTATGACAAATAAAAAAAAACTGTATTTATGACAAATAAAAAAAACTGAGTTAATTAATTAATTATAGGTCTTTTGTAAAATTTTTTTTCTTAAAATCTAATAAATATCGAAAATTTTTATTTCTTTTTATCCAACTTCAATTCAAACTCAATAGGATAATGATCTGAAACTTCTGAAACAAGAATCTTATTTTTCGATATTATTTCGTCAAATTTAAATATTTTGGTATTTCCAATCTATCTCTCCTTATTTTTAACTTCAAATACAAATCGATCATAAGCATTATATTTGGAGGCAACAGTGGTATTACTCGAATGATCAATTCTCCACATCAGACCATTTTTATATAATATCTTGTCAAGTTTATTTTGCTCATCCTTATTAAGGTAAGAACCCGAAGCGTTAAAATCACCTATTATAATTATCAGTTCATTGTCATTTGAACCGGTACATGAACTTCCAAAACAATATAATAAATTAAATAAAAATGAAAAACTATCTCTTTTCTTTAATCTCGCTTTAATATCTGCATATACATTATTCACCAATGTCTTTATTTCTTCGTATGCATTACCTGGACGTGTATGGCATCCAACAAGAGTAATTCTAATATGAGGTTTTTTTAAATTTTGAAATCGAGCGACATAAGGTACTCTAAAAAAAATTTTTACTAAACTTTTTGTTAACTAAATAATCTTCTAGTACCTTCCATTTGTTCGATATGTATAAGTAAAGATATCTTTCTTTATATGACCTACTACCAATAGATATACTCGACACATAAGAATATGGAAAAGTGGATGATTTTGATAATAAATTGACAAGTTTTTCGATCATTTCTTCAGACAAACGAACCTCTTGGCAAAGAACAATATCATATCGCTTAAGAATTTTGACAATGACATTCATTATAGAACAATTATTAATTTTTTTTTTACCAAATTCTTTAATATTAAATGCGCCGATTATAGTCATGTTATTACAAAAAATTACATACTTTCGGAAATGATCAACTTATATTAAGATATAATTCAAAAATTAGATGATGAAAATGAAAATTATTGGTACATTACACATAATAGTGTATTTTGTAATTAAATCAATTGGAAAAATAGTTTCCATTGCAAAATGAATTACTAATAAAATATTCTAAAGAGTAATAATGAATAAAAGAAAATTAAATCCAATTTTTCATAAAAATTTAAATTTTTGATACTTCAATTTGACTAATAAAAATTTTTCTTACCATTAAAGTGTCCAGAATTCTGCGGTGCATAATTCTGCTCGCTCTAAAAATATCTTTTTGTATTGTATTTAGTTTTTAAAAAATGATTAAAGTCACGTTTATCTTATACAATACAAAAAAATATTTTTAGAGTGAGCAGAATTATGCACCGCAGAATTCTGGACACCCTATTCATTATAAACAAATAAATGACTTTAAAATATTTATTAAAGGCAATCGTCAAACACCGTACGTTTATTACTGAAACCCAAAGAAATCAGAGCTTTTGTAAAAATTGTAGATATTCATATAAAATATAAAAATTTAAATCTTGACTTTTATTTCAATGACGATGATGATAAAAGTTGCCATATTAAAAAAAAAAAAAAAATTTAATAGTAAAAGTAAAATTTTTTGGCATTTAACATACAGGATTGCAGGAACAATCATAAAAAGGTATAAATTGAATTTGATTAAATTCGCTAATAAAATCTGAACAAATTGGAAAGAAATCATATGGTTGCAATTGAGGAAGTGGTGATGCAGGCAGAATAGGTGGTGATGGAGATTTATTTATATTTGGCGAAGGAAATGATGACAAAGCAAAATTGACTACATTATTAATGTCTTCATCGCTTAAATGACTTTTGGAATTACTTTTAGATAATTTGCGTCGTCTACGTAACTTTAAAAAAAATATATATAAATTTGTTGATTTTATTAAAATATGCTAAAGAACATAATACACAAGCCTACATACCTTATTTTTTGGCTGATATTTGTAATCGGAATATAATTTTTGATGCTCGATCTTCTTTTTATCTGCAAGTGTGTTAAAATATAACTTAATTTCTTCAGATTCAAGTTTCCACAATGAAGATGCAACCTTGGAGACATAAGCAGCATTTTTAAAATTTATTAATTTCTTTAGATAAGAACTTATGTGCGTCCTATATATAATAAAAGCATTTGGAGGTCGCGGTAGATATTGCCTTTTTTTTTTGATTTTTTTTTGGTTTTCCGAAATGAGAGAAGGATCAATTGTTAACTCTTGAACATTTTCCGAAATGAGGGAAACCATAAACATGCTACATTGGTTTGCAAAAATTTCATCCGCCATTATCGTAATTAAATTTAAAAAGAAAAAGACACCCATTAAATATACTACAGTCATCCTCCTATATAATTACACCTTGAAAAATTAAAACAAACAGCATGATTATAGACTGGTTCTTTTATCACACTGAAAACCCGATTTTCACCAATTTATTAATATAACATGATTGGTAAGACATTGATATCTATTATTAATTCTGCATGATTTTTTAAGACCAATGAGGTAAAGAATTTAAGGGTCATTATTGTTTTAATGTACAGTTGATTATAAGGAGTTTGACAGATGTTTATTTTTTGTTATTTTAAACAGTCCTAAATTAAGGTTAATACCTACACGATAAAAGTGATTCAATTAATTTGAAATGATTTGGTTGGGCTGTCAAAATAGGATTCATAAACAAATTAAGTAATGTTCTAAACCATACGGGGTGTTGCAAAGGGAAAATCCCACCATTTACCCAAAATTCCAAACCTATGTTTCTCCTGTAAACATCACGTATCCAACTTGCATTTTATTGTACCAAGTGCGCGTATCAATTGTGCTCTAAAGGCCTGTGTGTAAAATTTAGCGAACTAAAAAATAAACATTTTAAAACTTTAGTTTACTCTAAAACTTTACTGGTTAGTTTACTATAGGGTATCCAGAATTATTCGGCAGCATGGTTTAAAAATAAACTTGTATATTGTTTCTGTAAGAAAAACATGACATGTAGAAGTTCAAACTCTGTTTGGTCGGTGATCTCGAACCCAAATCCTTTTTAAATAAATAATGATTTTCCTAATATGCCAATGGTCCGCGGATATCCGTTAAATTACGAATATCACTATGATTTTCTTTACAGGATAAGAGTTAACCCGGGAAAAGTATTTAAGCAATAGCATTCGCGATAAATTTAGTTATATCCAAATTCTTAAATAGTATGATGATGTAGTCTAACATAAAATTAATTATCTCAAAAGCATTATTTGGCGAACAATTATTATTTCTATTGGTTATGAGTTAATGCAAAAAGTCAACGCAATCGAAAACAAATGATTTTATCATGTTTAATTTAATTTTCACCAAGAACTATTACAATTTAAAAAAAAATAATCGAAGAGTAATTTAGAAACGTTTTGTCATTCTCTTGAATGTAAATTGTATCAGTTTTCAGCAATTGAAATTTTTTTTACTGACTATCAGCAATTTACATTTTTTTTAATATTGGTTCTTATAGAAAGATATTTGACTATTTCAATTGAAATAAAAACAATTCAGTTTAGGTTCTAATATTGTCTAAAATTCTTTAAATCATGTATGATTTTTATTTACATCTGTAGAACTCAATTATGCAAGTAAATTCGAATAACCAAATCGACAGTTGTTTAAAATTACTTCATATCTTTTTTGAACAAAATATACACTTAATTTCTAGTGACGAGAATCAATATATTTGTACAAAATGCAAATTTGAGTTAATGAAATGCATAAGTTGCAAAAAGAATGCAGCTATGTTTCCGACAAAATTGGGATTTTATTGCGAGACATGTAAACGTGTTTTTTTGAGAAAAAATGATATTAAACAACATAACAAAACAAAACATAACCAATGATTCTATTTGCAAAAACTAATGAAAAATCAAAATTTCAATTTTATATATTTAGTGATAAAATTTATTTGAAGTTACGCATAGAATTTGTGAGCATGTACTTGAAAGAGAAACACAAATTCTCATATTATAATTTTAATTGAATAATGAAATTAAACTGTATTGCATACTAGATATTAGAGAAAACCAAATAAAGATAAATTTAAAAAATGCCTGAAGAGTTGAAAAAAAACAATTTATTTGGCATTAATAGCATTAATATTTAATCCAATTATTATTCTCACATTTCTTTGCCCATCTCTTGGTAATAATTAGTGTATCTAAAATGAGATATTTACTTTATTATAGTGATTCTTAAATTTATCACCAGCGACAAATAGAAATATACTTTATCGTTATTATTATACAAATTTGATTTCGAATTGCAGTCGCATTAATTTATAAAAACATATTTAAATTATTTAATGCTGGTCAATTATAACTTTTAAATAATAATTTATGATTTATTTACATGATCTAGATAATTGATTGAAAGAGTATTAAAAGACTTTTAAGTAAATTTTGTTTTCTTGTTTTATATTTGCATTTTAAATTTTTGGATTTGTATTGCATTCTTAGCCTTTCGGACTGGAGCTTATATCGTGATTTTTCATATTCTGATAGTTTATTCCATTTATTCCCTGCAATTTTTGAAATTTGACGAGTGTCTATATTTGGATTATCTTTAATTATTTCTTTAATTATTTCATTTTGAAATAAAAAAAAAGGATTCTGTGGACGTTTAATAGGGTTAAAAATCAATGCTGGAACACGTATCCTTAATTCTGGAAATTCTTTAATTGTTTTTAATTTTTTTGTGGCTTCTTCATGAATAAGAATCGGAGAGTACCCTTGTGAGATAAAAACTGTTATTCCATTATTACTTTCAACATTTGGGAGAATACCAGATTATTCAATCGAAACGAAATTATTAGAATTCATTTTATGTATATTAATTTTTTTTTTAAAAAATATTAATAGTTTTGGATGTATTGTAAAGAATATAAAATTGGTTTTCTTATTACATATAAAGTTAAAATTGAATAAATTAATTTCAATCAAATTAATCACATGGTCGATTTTATAAATATAATATTTAGATAATGAGTTAATTATTTTGTTCAATTGTTTTTGTTTTCAATTTCAGAAAAGAAAAACACGTGCAATAAAGAATTATCAAGTTTACCAACTTAGAATTTTAGAAATTTGAATATTTAATCGGGTTGTAAACTTTTCTTTAATTTTTCAGCATGAAATTTGATATTGGTATCTTCACATTCAAGTAGCAATTCATTTATTATTTTCAATGCTTTTTTACACTCTTCGTTCATTTTTAATCTTAAAGCATTTGAATACTTAGTTGCTTCATTATTTTTATCGTTAGTTATATTTTGCCTTTTTTGTAACAAAAATATAAGAGTGAATGGTAGTATCATTAATATTATTAGACTTATTTCTTTTCATTTATTTCAAAAATATAGGTAAAAAGATTATATTTATAAACTAAATAAGCTTGAAAATTATGGGTATGAATTAAAAATGTAAATGAATTTTATTAATTCACTAGTTGAAATTTATTTAATTGCAGCACAATATATTTATAATTGTTTTCGTGCTGATTAAGATTCAGAATTAATACAATTATAAATCTTAAATTTTCTAATTAATTTATTAGATAGTGTTAGAATTTTAAGCATGATTAAATTTTATTGACCATCTTAATAATGCTGAACTCACATCTAACTTTTGGAATTTTTTCTTCATAAAAACAACCACCCATCATATAAGATTGTGCTAAATCTTAATTCTATGTTGAAACAAGTATTCATAATGAGGTTTGCTTTTAGCAATTAAGTCATAAACATGTTGAGGATATTCAATTTTTTCATCATTATTGATTGATTTGTCAAATCCTATACTTTGCATTACATTCCTGTTTTTTATTTATAGTTAATATATGAAAAGAAAAATTAATTGAAAATAATAAACATACTTATGCTACAAATAATCTATATCTGGACCTGACAATTTTAAATCCCATATTTTCAATCTTTTTTCTTTCCATTCAAGCATTTCTTTCTTAAACTCTACGTTGACCATCTCACAATATTTTTTCAAAATTTTCTCTGGTTCTTGAACTAAATCATCAGCATCTACTAAAACAATCTCCTCTCCAGTTATGTTCTTAGTTAAATTATAAAGTCTCCTTGATTCTTTGAGCCAAACTTTTTCAGGAAAAACAATGTCATATCTTTCAG